CCGCGGGCTCCGGGCGTGGAGGTGGGGCGTGGCTGTGAGTGACGGTTTGGGCGCGGAGTAGGCACTTGGCCGCCGCTAGTCGAGTGGCGCCTCCTCGTCGCGCTCATCGTCGGGCTGAAGGCGCAGGTCCTCTTCATGGCGCCCTTCACCGCCATCTTTTCGCAGATGATTGGCGGCCAGCGCGTGAGCAACGCGCTCGCGACGATGCTCTGCCTCGCCCCTCTCGTCGGTGCCGCCACAGGCACCGCCATCGCGCCCCTCTGCTTGCGCCACGCCGACTCGGCCATCATGCCCGTCGCCGCGCTGCCGGCGGCCGTGGCGTGCGGCGTGCTGCTCGTCGTGTGGGCGCGCGCGGGCGGCCACGGCGGCCGCACCGCCAACCCGCTCGCCAGGCAAGACTCTGGCAAAAGTGCCAGGGGGGCTTTGGCGGTGAGGCTCGGCAGCCTGAGCCGGGCCAGCGCAGCCACATCCACCACGGCCGCCAGGCTGCTCGAGCCGCTCGTCGCCGCCGCTGAACGCCAACGACCACTGCCGCCGGCCTCTTGAAAAACAATGTGAACCAACAATCTCCCGTGTGACTTGAGTAAGAAACTCTAAGAAACGAGACGCCGCGTACGCCGCGAGTGACGAGTACAACACACAACCAGAGTCGAGACTCGAGAGAGTCGTTGTGAAATGATATCGCAGCAAAACTGACCCCAGGAATTCTGGCTCGGGGGTATACCCAAACTGATCGTGAAAACTCATAGCACGTAGTGGTTTCGTTGCGAAGCATAACTCATAAGAGTCCCTCTGAAGTTTGCGCCCGGAGGCGCCTCTTTTTGCACGCCGCCCCTCCGCTCAACGGCCGTCGCGCCTCGTCGTCCTGCCTTGCCGTCGCTGGGCGACTCGGAGCGCGATCGCCGCTCACGGTCCCAGCCCCGGCCGCGCTGCCCTGGCTCCGCGGCGGTCGCGCTCGAACTTCCTCCCTACTGGCTGGTCGGCGCCCCGAGAGCCCGCACCTGAGAGCTCGCTGCTCGGGCGGAGCAGACCTCGAGCGAGCGCGAGGCGGCCGTCGAGGCGGAGCATGTGCGGCCGCGCGTGTACGCGGCGTACACGCGCGGCCGCACGTGCGCGGATCGGTGCGGGAAGTCGCCTGGCTGCCTGGCCGGCTCGGCCGTTTAAATTCCTCTCGCACTCGGCGGCTGCCAAGCGAGCTCAAAGTGCATATTGGCACGTCGCTCGTGGCCGGAGCGCGTCGCCACGGAGGCGCAGTTGGCCACCGGCGCGAGCTCAGCGACCCAGGCATTCGCGCTCGGCTAGCAGGCGCCGCTCTGCGAGCGAGCGCGCTAACTCCCATTGCGAGAAAACCGAAACCGAGACCGGAAATGACGTACGTCCTAGGACGGCCGACTATGAAAATGAAACCTATGCTTGGCGACGAAACCGAAGCCAAAAAACCTGCGCCCAGTTTTGCTGCGGTGAACTTCGCGGACAAAACCAGCAGGGCAAGCTCGTCGGAACCGCTACACGGCTCTGCGCTCCTCTAGGGTCTTGCCGTCACATCATCCCGCGCCGGCAACACTTGTGCTGCGCACAGCGGGGGTGCGAAAAGCAGCCGCGGGGCGCCGCGCACTTGCAGCGGGCGTTGGCGGGTGTACAGGCAGTGGAAGAGTAGGCAAGCGCGCCTCGTGCAAGAAGTTGGGGAGCTAGCTGCAGACGAAAACCGTGCGTGCACACATTATCTCAAACAAAGAACGCGCCGCTTCGCAGCTGCGCGCACACGCCCGCGCGGTGACTCATGCTATGGATCCGCGATGCATTTCTGTCTCTAGCTGCAGTGCTTCATTGGGGCGATTGGCCTTTGGCAGTAGCAAAGGCGGGCATGACATGCTGTTATTCCTCAGCGGGCTCAGCCGCGTCCGTGATCACGACGGAGAAGAAGGGGAGGGCGAGGAGCAAAAACCGCCGCAGCGACATGACGATTTCGCCGCGCGGCGGGCGCTCTCTTGTGTGTTCGATCTGTGATTTGTGTGTCTCGAGGCGGTGCCCGGTGCCGAACGTGTCGGACCTTAAGGTCTGTGAAGAGGAACATCACCCGTTTTCATTCAAACAGATCGACATACACACAGATTTACCGCAGTCCACAAGCACAGCAGCCCTACCTCGTACTACCTGCCCGCGGTGAGCCAGCCCTTTCCTCAGTGTTTGCGGGGACCTGCTTCCTATTTATCGTCTCGTTGCGAGCTCGCCTTTTTATTTCCCCCTGAATTTGCAAGGCCGAATTAATTACCTTGATGGATTGCCGTTATGTTCCCTTCCCACCACGCACCAGCAGACCCACGGCCGGAGGGCCTGCCTTAGCCAGCACGACAGAACCATCTTCAGCGATGCTCCTGGTGGATGTCCTCCTCTGTGTGGCCGCCCTGACATCGCTTGCCGTCCCCATCGCCTACTAGTACGTCAAGGGACAATGGCTCGCGAGCAGTCGAGGGTTCTCACTCGGCGGGCGGTGTGCCCGCAAGGCCACAGACGCCGCACGAGAAAGGTGCAGTGTCGCTTGGAGCGGGAGATGCTCGGGTCGTGTCTGCTCAAGGATACGTCCACGCGGAGCCACATGACCCGCCCCGCACGTCGCCTCTACAGATCGTGTTGAGATTACTCTTTGTGTGTTTATGCCGGCAGTTGTGTTGATGTGTCTTCTAGTGTGCCCCAGTCCACACACCCTTGTCGTGCCAGTGTGCTGTGAGAGAGAGAGGTAAGTAAGTACCACCTTCGTAAGTAAGTAATGAGGTGAAGAACAGTTAGGCTCGGACTGGACACCGGCGCGGTTTGTGGCTTGTGGGTGGACGCCTGGTGGACGCTGGACAGAGGTCAGGATCTCAGGAAGGAGAGAGTCTCAGACGATGTCGTTGTCGATGACGGCGATATCGCGACACACAGACAAACAAACTCACAAACACCACTCCGACTCGCTCGACTCACGACCAGGCACGACCCCGGCCCACGACCAGGCACGTAACGCGGTTGAGGGCTAGAGCAGCCGGCGGGCTGCTCCGCGCCTCCAGGCTCCAGCAAACTCGCCGGCCGCAAGGCACGGAGACGAGAGCATGTGGGCTGTGGGGTTAGGTGAGTGAGGTGTCTATCAGAAAGAAGCTCCCCACACGGGCCAGGCACCAGTCCCTACCCCTTGCTTATCCTCTTGGAGAGGGTAGGTAGGGCAGGTAGGTGTTATGCCGCTGCTTGTCTTTCCGACCTAAAACGAATCGTTCAGCACTTGGAGCGCTTGGAGTGCAGTTGGTAACCGCACACCCAGGGTCGGGGAGCTGAGAAGCGCACCCAGCAGGCCGGGTGATTGGTATCGGGCTACGGACACGCCTCCGCGACTTCTTTTTTTGTTGCTTGTGTTAGTGCCAGTGCGCGCCAGTCCCGTGCCCCGTGTCGTGCGAGGGAGTTTTGTTGTAACATTGTTTTTGCTCGCACAAATTTCGAAAATTCTTTTTGTCGGTCGGTCCGTCGCAGGCTGTGCCTCTTTTGGTACCTGTGTCGAACCTGTGTGCTGTGCGAGAGAGTTCTTTTTCTTGAATTCTTTTTGTCTATGTTAGTCAAGAACACACACTCGAGCGTTGTTGGCATTGACCTGGCATCGACCCTTTCTCCCTGACCTGAGCCTCTGGATGCTCGGCCCGACCTCTTTCCTCACCAAGGGCAAACCCGGCCAGGGCGCCAGTGGGCTTGGCCTCGGGCCGACGGACACGCTCACGGGCGGCAGGAAGACAGCCGCGCTCGCCGGCGACGCCAACGAGGCATCATCCGCCCGCGGCAGGAAGGGTGCAGGAGAGGATGGCCGACGCAAGGCCAAGAAGAACCCAGACCAGGCGCGAAGAGCCGCGACGACCACTGGCTCCGGCCTCTCCAAGTCGGCGCCGCTGCGCGGAGGAGGTGGAGGGCCGTCGGCAACCGCCACGCTGGGGCACTCGCTCGCGCCCGGTGGCAAGGGCACGATGGCTGACGAGCTCGACATGTCGGACCTGAACTCCAGCATCGAGATCGATGCCGGCCACGCTGATCGCTCACTCGACGCGTCCGACTCGTTCGAGCTGGAGGAGCTCGGCCGCGGCTCGGCCGCCCCTGCCTCCTCCTCTTCGAGGGCGGCCTCCAAGGCACGTGCACCGGCGCCGGCCGCCACGGCGCGCGCGCCGCCCGAGAAGGAGGAGCTCGAGTACTCGATGTCCTTCGAGGCCGACGCCCTCCCGCCGACTGCGCCGCAAGAGCCGACGGCGCTCACGCCGGCGCTGCCCGTCCCTGTCGCGCAGCCGGTCGCTACTCCGCCGGCCGCTACTCCGCCGGCCGCTCCGCCGGCCGCTCCGCCGGGGCCGGTCGCAGCCCCGTCGCGCGTCAACCTCTCCAACATCAAGCCGCTCGTGGCGAGGCCGGCCCCGCCGCCGCCCTCCCACCCAACCGCCGCCTCCGCGCCGCCCACCCCGCCAGCGGCGATAGTGGCGGGCGGCGGCGTGGGCGGCGGGTGGGCGGCGGTGGTGCCGCCGCCGGCCGACGCGACGCGTTTCGAGGCGGCGCTGTCGGCCGCGGAGGACGCGCGGCGGCAGGCGGAGGCGAGCGAGCGACAGAGCAGGGCGCAGGTGCGCGAGGCGAGGGCCGAGGTGCCGGAGACGTGGCGAGGGTTGCCGGTCAGCTGTGAAGTGTGGTGCTGGCTGAGGAGGCGACTTCTTTGCAGGCGGCGGACGCGCGCGAGGCGCTCGACCGACTCCGCTCGCTGACGCGCGAGGGCCCGTCCGGCGGCGCGCACGTGGCGCACGAGATCGAGGTGCAGCAGCTGCACGCGCGCCTCGCCGGCGCGCTGAGCGAAGCGGAGCTCACCCGCCAAAAGGCAAGACTGCCCGAGATGACCCGAGATTGACCGAGATTGCCCGAGATTTCCCTTGAGGCGGAGCTCGCTCGCCGACAGGCGGAGCAGGAGGTGTCGGCGGCCAAGGTGGAGGCGCAGCTCAGGGTGTCGCGCGCAGACTCGTCGCTCAAGATAGCGGAGGAGAAGCTTGCCCAGCTCGCCGCGCAGCACGGCGAGCGCTCGCTCCACCTCGAGCAGTCTCGCA